CAACTTATGATGTTTCATCAGATAAAATGTTTATCGTGAAAGCTGCCATCATTTGGACCATTAGCGACTTCCCTGCCTATGGCATGCTTTCGGGATGGAGCACACACGGTCTGATGGGATGTCCGATATGCATGGAGAAATAAGGTGCCAACTGGCTCAGTTACAGCAAAAAAGGAAGTTACTTTGATTGTTACCGCAAGTTTCTCCCGGAAAGGCACCGATATCGAAAGGAAAAGAAGTCTTTCATTAGAGGCAGAGTGGTACGAGAGAGACCACCCCCGAGATTGACCGGTGAAGAAATTTATAACCGGGTTCGACGTTTTCCTACGGCTATGGAAGAGCCAAACCAAGAGCCATATGGGTATTGTGATACCCATAAGTGGACAAAGAGGAGCATATTCTGGGAGTTGCCTTATTGGAAAGACCTTCTCATCCGTCACAATTTAGATGTCATGCACACTGAGAAGAACGTCTTTGACAATATATTTAACACGGTGATGGATTTGAAAGGCAAAACTAAAGACGGTCTTGCAGCTAGGAAAGATATGACTATTTGGTGTGATAGACCCGAACTATCTGTTGATCTAGAATATCAGGGCAAGGAAGTTCCAAAAGCAGTCTACCAGGTCACAGAACCACAAAAGACAGCAATATTAAAATGGCTTGCGTCTCTGAAGTTTCCAGATGGCTACTGCTCCAACTTGTCTAGATGCGTGGACATGAAAAAACTTACCACGACGGAGAGCATGAAAACTCACGATGCTCATGTAATAATGCAAAGACTTCTACCAATTGCACTGAAAGAGATGCTCCCTGAACACGTATGGTCCTGCATTACTGAAATTAGTTTGTTGTTTCAATTGATATGCTCCAGCATTTTGGATGCGGCATCCCTCCGGAGACTACAAGAGTCTGTTCCCATTCTGATGTGTAATCTGGAAAAAATAATGCCTCCATCGTTTTTCGATACAATGGAACATCTTATAATGCATCTTCCGTATGAGGCTTTGACTGCTGGGCCCATCTTCTATCGCTGGATGTAAAGATTTGAAAGTTTAGTCGCAATTTCATTTAAAAAATGAATATTTATTTCACAATAACTGTTAACATGTGTACCGTTGTTATATTGCATTATTGCAGATTTCTAGGAGAGCTGAAAAAGAAAGTGACCAACAAGGCACACGTTGAGGCTTCAATTTGTCAAGCGTATCTTCAACAAGAAATCTCAACGTTCTCGTCTTTTTACTTCGAGCGTGACGTCATCACCAGAAGGAAGAGACCTGCCCGGAACGATGACATTGGCGAGGATTTATATGAAAATGTAGTTTCCATCTTCAATTACCTAGGCAGAGGTAAAGGTGCTGCGACACAACGATACATCCTGGGTGGGGAATTGCAAATTGCGCATACTTATATCCTCATGAATTGTCCAGAAATCTCACCGTTTTATCAGTAAGTTAAATTTGTAGTTATAATTGTAATACTTATAAATTAAATTTGTAGTTAATTTTTTATTTTTGACTTCACAGTGAATTCCGAGCTTCTTTATGAGCCTTTCCTGAGAATGAAATTGATGCATTGGTGGACTCTGATTTTGTAAATTGCTACAAGTATCATGTATATATACACACACATTAATTATATATATTATTAAGTAAGATTTTTCAATATTTACTTAATGTTATTATCATGTTTATATTTACAGATCAATAGTCGTGGGATTGTCGACCCTTTGTTAGTATCATTAGCGTGGGGCCCAGGTGCCAGTGCCAAAGTGTGGCGGCAATATGTGATAAACGGTTACACATATCACACAGCCGATTACGGACAGGGCCGACCAACAACGAACAACGGGTTATGTGTCCCGACCATCGGTTATGATAACTCGGAAACCAATTTTTTTGGTGTCCTGCAGGAGATTCTGAAACTTGAGATGCCTTCTGGTGCGCAAAAATTGACATGCGTTCTGTTCCGCTGCACATGGGTCGATCCCACACGTGGCGTGCGCAAAAATCCGAAGTATAATATGATTGACGTCAACCACTCTCGTGTGTACCCGAAAAATGAGCCTTTCATACTCGCCCAACAAGCAGCGCAGATTTATTATGCAGAATATCCTTCAACGAGGCGGACACAGAATCCTTGGGTGTGTGCATGTCTTGTCCGTCTGAACAAAATTAAATCACAAACTCAACACAAGGACGTTGATCTAGATGCTTTTCAGCAACAATTTTTCCAACCTCCGCCTATTGTTGAGACGGTCAACTATAACGTCCAATTAAGTGATCCAAATAGCGGACGTGTTGAAGTCATGCCAGAAACGCATCTTCCGGACCTAACCATTCCATCTGAGCGCGAAATTGAGGAAATTTATGTAGCACAACAAAACGCTCAATATCAGGAAGAAGGTGAATGGATAGACGGTTCAGATACAGAAGAAGATACTGTATATGTAAAAAATGACGATTCTGATAGCGAATAATTGTGCTGTTGTAATTTCAATTTTATTGACTTCTAATATTTGTGCTCTTTTCTTCATCATTATATTACTCCAACAATATTTGATTTTTTCTTCTTCATTATTATTTATGAACTAAAAATTACTCCATATTAATTCAACAACAACAAGTTTTCAAAACTTTAAAAATTCAAAACAAAAAATATATATTTTCAATTCAAAAAATTCGAAAATTCAAAAATTAATTGAGACGGTCAACTATAACATCCAATTAAGTGATCCAATTGACGGACGTGTTGAAGTCATGCCCGAAACACACCTTCCAAAAATGCTCAATATCAGAAAGAAGGTGAATAGATAGACGGTTCAGATACAAATTGAAACCAGATAAATTGAAAGCAGTTTATTTAATACTCCACAGTCCACACTACAAATTTAACTGTTTCCACAATATTCCATATTATAAATTTGAAAATTGATCCAATAATTTAAATACTTCGAAAATACAAAATTACAAGTGCATATATTGCATAAATAAAACTAATTTACTTTTCATAATCTAAATATTGTAATAATTTGACATTTTAATAAATAACTTACACGAATTTGGTTCTGTATTAGTCATTTTTTTTGCACAAAATGCTTGGGTCGCAGGATAGCTATTTTTGTAATTAAACAGTCACGGTCATAGTCACGGCCCTGACCGTGACTAAAGCCTTCGTAAATGCCGAAGTCAGGCTGCTGCAGGCCTGACAGTCAGAGCCGCCGCTGACCGGAATAGTCACGGTCAGAGCCGTGACTATGACCGTGACTATTTTCAAATTTTGAAAATAGTCACGGTCATAGTTACGGCTCTGACCGTGACTATTCCGGTCAGCGGCGGCTCTGACCGTCAGGCCTGCGTTCGACATTTACGAAGGGTTTAGTCACGGTTTTGACCGTGACTATGACCGTGACTAAGCCCTTATATAAAAATAACACTTGGCGAATTTTTTCATTCCCACCACTCTCCCAACCCTAAAACTCTCCTTCTCCCTTTACTTCTTCTCTCATTCCGGCAATCTCCACCGCCCTCCACCGCCGCCTTCCACCATCCGTCACCACCGGCCGCCGCTCTCCGTTAGCTACCTCCGTCGATCTTCGCCGTCCTCTTCATCAAGGTTATGTGTTCTAAATTTTAATGACTTTTCATTCTTATTTTTAGAATTTGATTTTTATTCCAAAAATGCATGTTATTATAAGTATGTTCCATTATTAAAGTGCATGCTCTTTTGTTGAAATACACTCAAATGCATGATTATATACATGATTTTTATTCGAAATATAATGTTCTTTAATATTCGAAATATAATTTTCGAAATCCATGTTTAATATTAAATTTCAATATAACATGTTTAATAGTATATATTCGAAATATAATTTTCGAATACATGTTTAATACATGTCGAAATAAATTTCAAGAAATACATGTTCTTTAGTTGGTATACATGTTTAATATAATTTAGTTTGTTAGATGTTTTATATGTTTAATATAACATGATTTAGTTTATATGTTTAATATGCATGATTTATATGTTTTGTATGCATGATAATTATGTTTAAATGATTTAGATTATTATATGTTTAATATATGTTCATATGCATGATTAATGATATTTAATATATATGTTTAGTGTTTGATATGCATGCCTCTCTATAGTTATACAATGTTTATGTTTTTCATGCTTTAACCTGAAATATTTAAAAAAAATTGCCCCCTCATGTTAAGCTTTCACAAACTTAACATGTTTAATTATAATTTTACAAATTTTTATAAACAATTTTTATAAAAAGTATACAAACTATTTTATAAACAGTTTTTATAATTTTACAAATTTTTATAAACAGTTTTTATAAACAGTTTTTATAAACAGTTTTTATAAATATAAAAAGTAAAAATTGGATATAAACTGTTTTTATAATTATTTAAAAAAGAACAAAACAGTTTTTTTATATCTGGATATAAGCAGTTAAAAAAAAACTGTTTTTTAAAAACTAAATAATAAAAACTGTTTTTTTACAACACAGTTTTATAGCAAAATGGTAAAGTGCTTTGTTTTTTAAAAAACTATAAAACTGATTTTTGTAAAAAAAAAAAGTAGACTATCAGACTGTTTTGGTAAATAGTTTAACTGTTTTTCTAAAAACTGATATTTATAATAAACTGAATTTTGTAAAAACTAATTATTATACAGATTTTTGTAAAAACAGTTTTTTTTTGTAAAAACTGATTAATTAACATATTTGTTAACAACTGTTTAATAGAAAAAAGTGTTAAATAAACAGTTTTTATAAAAACTGTTTAATAAATAAAACAGTTTATATAAAACAGTTTTTTATAAAAACTGTTTTTATAAAAACTGTTTTATATAAAAACAGATTTTGTAAAAACTGTTTTTATAAAAACTGTTTTAAATGAAAATTTGGTTTACTTAAAAACTGTTTTATATAATCTGTTTTTGTAATTTAATTAAAAAAAGTATAAAACTGTTATTTAGACATTATAAAATCCGTTTTTTGTATAAACTCAAAGTATACTGTTTTTCTAGAAAACAGTTTTTATAAAAACTGTTTTTTATTTAAAAAGTACAAAAAAAAAAATTATAAACTTTTTTTGAAAAAAAAGTATACTGTTTTTATAATTTTGTAAAACTGTTTATAAAAATTGTATAAAACTCATGTATCTAAAACATAAAAAAAAATGATGGCCTCTCATGTAAACTTTGCAAAAAGTTTAACGAACATGTTACTTACAATTGTAAATGTGTATAAAATATTAAACTGTATATAAGTTAAATATGAGGGGTCCAATAATTTGTAATAAACAAATCATATAATTTATCAATGAGTTGACCCAGTCGATCGAAGAATCGACCAGTTGGAGCTTATCAATGAGTTGACCCAGTCAATTCGTTGATAAGCTCCAACCGATCGATTCTTCTGGCTGCGGCTTTAGCCATCGACGGACTCTCCCAAACGCATGTACTTACATTATGTCGCTACATGTGATTTAGCCCATCCATGGTTCAATCCGTAGCCCAAAAAATCGCCCGGATAGAGCTTATCAATGAATCGACTGGGTCAACTCATTGATAAGCTCCAACCAGTTGATCCTTCGGTCGACTGTGTCAACTCATTGATAATTATAGGATTTGTTTATTAGCAATTATTGGGCCCCTCATATTAAACTTATACACATTTTAATATGTTATACACATTTTCAATTGATAATACTTATAAAAAAATTAATCTTCTATTACAATCACACTAACAAAAACCAAAATAAATTAATGTATTTTAGATGACTGATGAACAATCGACATCGGCCGCCCAGCCCAACTTTGCGCCCATGACCGAAGCCGAGGGCAACAATGAAAGAGCTGTTTGGGTGACCCCAGCCCAAGTTGCTTTGTAAGTAGTTATCAACAAACCATAAGTCAATTAATTTTATATAATGTCAAATAATCCAACCAAATCTCATATAAATAAATACTCTTAATTTTTTGAAGTGACAAAACAGTGTTTCAAGGCATAAAAAACATAATAGGAGGACACTTTCTTGGCATTTGGGCCTCCTACTCCGATGTTGATCCCAAGGTCCGCGAACTATTGTGGAACCTATTTAAGGTAAAAATAAATGAATGTTCCCTGCATAATTGTAGTAGTCTAATATATAACAAATGATTAATTAATGCAACTTTTTTAATAAAGGCTCGCTATCGCTGGACTCACGCAAACGGTGCTGATATTCTTAGAGCCTACAATTATAGGATTTCGGCCTGGCTTCGGCCCACTTTTAAGCGTGCCCGAAACAGTGGGAGAAAGCCTAAATGGGTTTCGGATGAAGTGTGGACCAACCTTTGTCGCCACTCGTCTTCGGATCCGAAATTCTTGGCCAGAAGTCAATCCGGTAAGAAAAACCGGATGTCCGAGAAGGCCTTGGAGACGCAGTGGCATGGGGGTCGCAAATCCCAGTATGCCCATAAAGAAACTCTTGTAAGTGTTATTCAAAAAACCTTACACCATTACGACCCTTGATTATACAAAATTTTCTTAAGCCTTTTTACACCATGTAGGCTGGTCCTGAGAAGAAGAAGAAGGTTAATATTCTCAACCTCGTCAAGCATTGCTGGACAAAGCACGGTGAGGAGTCTGAAGCCAATCTGCCACCCCGCCTCGCTGAGTTCGAAGTATGTAACATCATATTTTGTTATTTAGTAACATTTCAAATCTAAGTATGTAATATTTAAAAAAAAATGCAGTCGAAGTACAATGAATCCGTTGACAGGCGGCGTGCGGAGCGAGGCTTGACCCAGGAGGATGAGCTCGATTCCGATGCGGATGATGAGGCGGCCATTGAGGCGGCCGGGGTTTACAAGGGTCGGGTTCCGAGCTTGGGAGCTGAGGGGCAACGGATTTTGTATGATCGAAGCACCGGCGCTTCCTCTTCTCAGTCAAGGTGCGGAGAAGATCCTCGTATGGCCCAAATGCAGCGTGAACTGCAGGAGCACGAACGGCGATGGGAGGAGCAGCGGAAAAGAGAGGAAGAAACAAAAGCCCGGATGGAGGAGATGGAACGGTTCATGCGTGCCGGATTCCAGCCTCCGCACCAGCCTTTTCCTACCCCGTACGTATTCCACCCTGAGCAAACTCCTCAAGTTCCGCACATGGGCGGTAAGGGTCTTTTCTCCAACTCCGGATACGGTGGCATGCCTATGATCTCCCCGAATTTCGGATCTATGTCCTTTGATTTTGCGAGGTCATCCGGAGGAGGTAGTGGTACACCAAGCCATGGAGCCCGAGGAGCACCCCGAGGAGGATCACGAGGAGGAACCCGACCCGATGACCCCGTGCAGCAGCCCGAAGACCCCCCCGTGAACCCAGATGAGTTTCTTGTTGATGATGATGAAGATGAAGAAAATCCTAATTTTTTTCATAATGGAGTCCGACGATGAACAGACATGTAATCATCATACATTTATACTTTGTTGTATGTCATAACATTTAAAAGTTTGTCATAATATTTATTAAGTTTGTTGTATGTCTTTTAATTGCTTTACTCTTTAAAATGTAATTTTTTTCTTTAAAAAAATTAGAATAATATTTTCAATAACAAAATTTTCAAAAAACATTTTTAAATATAATTTGTAAAAATACGCATAAAAAAGTAAATTTTTAAAAACTTTTTTTTAATAAAAACTCGAATTTTTTTTTTTAAAAAACAAAAATATTAGTCACGGCCATATCCGTGACTACAGTTAATCCGAAAATATTATTTGTTTTTATTTAAATTTTTTTTTTTAAAAAAAACGTAGTCACGGTCTACAACCGTGACTAATTTCAAAAATTTCAAAATAGGGATTACAACCGCGGGCGGTAATTTGAAAATTTTGAAAATTTGAAACTTTAGTCACGGTCCACAGCCGTGACTAATATTTATTTAAAAATAATAATAGTCACGGTCTACAGCCGTGACTAACACGTCGGAGTGGGGTTTCCGGTTTCCGGCATGATAATAGTCACGGTCGACGACCGTGACTAATCCGTAACTACATTTAGTCACGGTTAATGTGGCTGTGACTTCATTTATGCATGCCCATTAAGTCACGTAGTCACGGCCAGAGAGCGTGACTAAATCATTTAGTCACGGAATTTTTGAACTGGCGTCCGTGACTAAATCCGTGACTACGCGCGTTTTTTTGTAGTGTAAACAGCCTCAAAAAAAATCCATCAACATATCCTTCATGAATTCTATTTCCTGAAATAGAATAAGGCCTTATCCAGTTCTTTCACCTTTCAAGCATAGTATGTACTTTGAAGCCTTTTTACAAGCTTGTTTTTGAGAGTTGATGTAGCTAGAAACAGCACTTGGCAAATCAAATCTTATGATAGAATTGCATTCGGGTGCGTTTATTCCATCCAAAACTGTATATGTTGTAAATAATATATCCATCCAGGACAAAAATCTTGTAGTTAGAACAAAATTCAATGATTGATGGCTTAGTGGGATGGACAAAAAAGGAAAGATGGGATGAAGAATGTAGGACGGAGGGAGAACCTCAGTACCACTTTATAATTTATACAATGCAGAATAGAAAGCACTCAAATGAGTCCAGAAATAATTGATCGTTCACTGTAGAATGGGTTAAAAGCAGATTGATGAATAATATAACTGGATTAGTAAGAATCCCAAGTTAAAAAACAGCAAGAAATAAGCATGCACAAATAAGTATTAATTAAGCAAATACAAGGAGTGGTAAAAATAAGTGAACGGTTCCAAAATAAAAGTTTTTAAGAGCTAAACCTGAAAAGTAAAGACTACTACCAGGTGGCAATGACTCATCAAAAGTCGATATTACTTCCTCAAGAAAATATCTATGCTGAGAGGAGCCTTCCTTGCCATGATATTCTTCTCTACTGTTAACTAACTACTAACTGAATACAGCTATATCACAATCGAGCGTCGCCGGTCGACTCGGTCTGTACCTTTTGTCGCTCGAACTCCTCCTTGAAGTAGTGTAGAGCAGACTGCTGAGCGCCAAAAGAGGAGTAGTTGGTCTTTCTTTTTCTATTTTTCGGACCTGGGCTAGCAGCTGCCTCATACTACTGAAACTATTTCGGGTCTTCAACCGTCATGTTACATTTGGACATGATAAATGTAACTTCTAATCAAATTATGTAAAACATGTTACAATAGATCGATAAAGAATGTAACAATTTTAAATATGAGTTACATAAATGATGTTACATTAAAATAAAAATGTAGTAGTTTCAATGGGGAGCCTTCCCCAAAAACAGTAGTTGGCCACTTCATATGTTTATAGAATGTTTCAATGAAATGAAAATTTCTATAAAAAAGTTTGTGTTAAACAACTTCTTTTGAAACATCTTTTTTTTTTAGAAAGAAATTATCACCACCCGAAAGAGCAACTTGATCACTTTAACAATAAACTTTAATTCAAAACTTACCATATTCATCATCTCGTTTTCAGTCTTAACACAACTTTACCACGATTAACCCTTCTAAGTTTGAACCAATACTAAACAGAGAGACTAAACAAAAAATTTATGGTCCTCTGTAGTATGTACTGATAAAGTATTCGTGACAAAATTCATACTACCTCCGTCCCTTTTTATTTAGCCATCTTTGACTTTTCCAGTCAAAGTTGATAAACTTTGATCCATTATTTCAACCAACATATTTATGTAAAACTTAATAAATTTATACTTTTATGATAGTATTTTTAACAAAGAACATTTTCATATAATTTTCACATTATCAATATTACCGTGTATAAATATATAATTGGTCAAAGTTGAACAACTTTGACTTGGAAAAAGGTGATTGGCTAAATAAAAGGGGACGGAGGGAGTATAACACACACAATTCGATTAAATTCCTAACACGTTAGAAGTATCAGGTGTTGTTACATTTCTATACTTTGATTTTAAATAAATAATTAAATATATAACAAATAATGTATGTATGGATATAAATGTTTATTTATTTGTACACATGAACGAGTGCATATGGGTGGAGCAGAAGATGAGTTGAATGTATGGTCATTTGTCCACGATCCGACCTATCATCTCATCCATCTATCATCCAATTAATTATCATATGTTTAGATATTCATGGATATGAGTGAACAGTTATTGATATATTATCTCGGCTTACTACTATTTAGGAGCTCAAGACATTAATTATCTAGTACAGAGTCCGATCAGTGAGGCCCATTTCCGCCCATCCGCCCCACTCTGGCCCGTTTGGCCCATTAGGGTAGCTAGTGTACCCCTCCCCTTTCCTCTATTAATAGGAGGATTCCCCTCCTATTGAAGAATCATCTTTTCTCTTCTTCCTCCTTCTCTCTAGAAGCTTAATAACTCCATTAATGGGAGCTTGTACAATGTAATAATAGTAAGGAGAGTATTAACAAAATGAGAGGGTTTGGACATTAGCCTAAAATGTCTCATGGTTTCCCCCTTCCGGGTTTCCACGTAAAAACGTAGGGTTCATACATCTTTATATTTATATTTATTATATCGTGTTGGATTAAACTCAAAATGTATGTATGCATATAAATATTTATTTATTTGTACACATGAACGAGTGCATATAGGTGGAGCAGAAGATGAGTTGAATGTATGTTCATTTGCACACGATCCGACCTATCATCCCATCCATCCATCAACCAACTAATTATCATATGTATAGATATTCATGGATATGATGAGTGGAACGGTTATTGACATATTCGATCATGAATATGAGTATTTTTCATCCACCTATTCGGGTCATGGTGTATCAATATTCATGTGTATGAGTTGAATTGTCACCCCAATCCTAAATAGTGTATATAGTACATTTCAAAATTTAAATATAAGTTACATTTGAGGGTTACATTTGATCTTAAAATGTGGTCGTGTTTATAGGGAGTCTTCCGGGCCTAGAAACCATAGTCAGTCAAGCACTCCATAATTTTACAAAATGTTGAATACAATGAAAATAGCTAAAAGTTTTTTATGGCATACAGTTTTATTTGAAGTAAACAAATGTATATTAATCAATTTATTATAGAGGTTATGGGATTGGCAAAGAAATTATCACCTCCCGCGCGAAATACAACTTCATCACTTTGAGAAGCATCCTTAAACTAAAATTATCATATTATGCATGTAGTTTTAACACAATTTTATTTATCACAATCAACCATTCGAACCAATACCAAACCAAAGAGTAAACATAATGGAAGGAAAATTATATGGCGTTATGTTTGGTTTCAGTACATCAGCCATGTCACCATGTGGGCATGTGGCCGAATTGAATTGCTAAAGCCTACTCAAAATGTAAACACTCGAGATTTAATGAACCATATAGAGTTTCCTAAATTTGTACCCATGATGTATTAGAGTGGAAAAATTCATAAAAACTCACAATTCATAAAAACACACCATTAGAGGTATTAGAGTTTCCTACATCTGTACCCATACACAGATGGAAATGGGTGGGTATAGGTGAATTACTATTCATATTTTTAGAGTTCTCATCCACACGTTCGGGTCGAATTGTATGGAGGTATCCACGAATATGGGTGAAATTGTTAGTCCTATACTAAATGGTGTATATACTGTATAATCGTACATCAAAAACTTCACGACTTCACGTTCTATAGATTTTGGTTACTTTTTCTTTTTAATTGTTTCAAAATTTGTCACTCCTCCATTAAAGTACTCCGTAATTAATTTATGGTTTTATTGGTTTCTTTCTCCTCTATATAAATCTTAACTTCATGAATTTTACTTTTCTTCTTTACCACTTTATTTAGAGTTATTGATATCTAATGAGATGGAGGTTTTAATTATTTTATTTGTTGTTGTATGAAATAATTACACTAAATATGACTAAAATAAAGATGATTTACAAAAATATGATCAGTTACTAGAGTAGTAGCGAAATCATAGTAATTCATATTCAAGATTTGAATTAAGTTACCACAGCACTACGTTGTAGTAATGAATAGTCTAAATAAGTTTTTGTTTTTGTAATATTTTTGTAAAAAACCGTGTTGTATTGAAACACAACTTGACTTTGTTTTTATTCTTTTCCGATTTTTAAGATCATCGTGTTGACTGGTGTCTCCATCCTCAATTTTTTAAATAAAAACACGAGACGTACTTAAGTGGGTGTCCAAGTGAATAGGATATTATTATATGAAAAATTCCAAAGCTACCTCATTTTGTACCTTTCCCTACTTTTGTGATTCATAAAGGCAATGAGTTAAAGTGGGATTTTGTTTGACACTCAATAAGTGATGTGCAAATTGGATACCCAAAATAGAGTACCTCTAACATTTCTCTTACGGAGTATTATATAGCTGAAGAATTTCCACTGTCTGCGTTCAAAGTAGGCGCACTATTGTGTTTTTGAACTTCCTTGGTAGCTTCGAATCCTTGAATATAAATATATAATCCTTCTATATATGGCTGCACAATTGGATTGACCCAATCATTATGATATGTTTACTACTCCGTATTTTACATCTCATGATGAATCAACTTGTGGGCTCAATCAATTGCGCACGAGCTGGAAAATGACATTTGTATAAGTGTACACCTCTTGCAAATAAATTGAGTCACCAAATAATCATTATTTATAAAATTAGTTTTTGGAAGAAAGTGGCTTATATTGAATAATAAAAAATCAGGCAAGATACAAAAAGTCTTTTTTGATTGTCTGCACTCGAACCAGACTCATAGTCTATCACTTTCAAAAAATAACATGACTTGCTGATCATATAATGAGCTTAACTGAGCCGATGACGAACGTAATAGACCTTTCATTATCACTCAAAAATAACTCTAGAGTTCTGCTAGTAGAAAAAATGAAAACAGCTAAATTAGTTCACATGCAATTCGGGTGACTGAAAATTTTATTTAAAAAAATTATAATATGTGTGAATATACAATGATTTGCTAAATACCATTAATTTGTGTTGCCTGTCACTATACTTTAGTAGACACTAATTTACTAATTGTCCATGTCACAAGATATTATGTAAACTAAGTGCATATAGTTAGTTAAGTCATACTACCTTCGTTCTTAAATAAATGCAACATGTTGAATTTTGTACTATATATTCATTGTTCTACTTTGACTACGTTTTATTTATTAATGTATTAATATTTTTATGAAAAAAGTATTGTTAAATTTGTCTCATTGTAAATTTTCAAAATCTAATTTTTTTTAATTCTTTTACCAATAATACAAAATTATATGTAGTATATATTAATGGTCAAAGTTGTGTCTCGACAAGTGTGAAACTTTGACCGTTGCATTTATTTAAAAACGGTTAATTCTTGAACATATGTCTTATCGTACCTAGGGACTATTCTAATTTAGTGTCTATATTTTTCTCTAATATTTTCTTTAACGACACACTAAAGATATACTTCGTAATACTACTAAAGATATACTTCGTAATACTTAAATCTTGTTTGATACTACAGAAATTGATGAAGTGCCTAAAGCGATTGAATTGGTTGGATTTGTTGAACTGTCCTACCTCCAATCCGCCCTACTAATATTGGGACAAGAGGAGGTAATACATGTATTAAGAAAAATTAGTTTATGTAATTGATATTTAATTGATAAAGTAAGAATGATTTAGAGTCACGCAAACTTGATCAAATTGGGTATGGAGTAATCTTGGTGAGATTTCTCGAAAAGGTAAAATGATACAATCTTAACGAGACGGAGGAAGTAGAAAATTATATTTAAAATATATTTTATTAATAAAATAATGAGTAAATTATACGGAGTACAAAATAGCTAAAATACTTTTGAACAATAACTTAAGCCACGAAATAGAAAAGTAACTTGAATCTTACTTATTTTGATTATTAAAAATTGAATGTGCACGAAATAGAAAGGTACATATAAATTAAAAAGTGGATTATATTGATAAGTCGGATCAATTGAAAAAAGAAACCATCAAAGGGCTTTTAATGTCAATTCATCTACATCAAGTACATATAAAAATATATGGAGTTTGAACTTTGAAACAGTAAATATGAGACTTTGGGTTCTACCCTCTATAAAAACTAGTTTGCTTATCTTTTGAAATTTCTACAACACTCATTTATGATTGAGGCCGTGGGTTAAAATTTAAGTTTAAATTTAAATATTTAAATTTAAAATCAAATTTAAGTTTATGATTGCGTTTTCATTTACTTTGGCATTTTTTATTACATAGGTTCGTTTCGAGTAGGAGAAGACAAAAATACCACACTTAGACCATTTGTACATGTTCAAGAGTTAAATTTGGACTCCATCCATATGAAACTCCGTCAATACTCTTTTTTCCTGCATCTGTGCACCGTCAATAAAATACACTCTGCATATTTTTTACATATGAATATAGAAAAACATTAATTAAATTATTATAAGTAATGTTTTACTTTAATTTTAATTTTTCCCCTGAATAATTATGAAATAAAAAATACACATTTCGATGTAAAAATACATAACTTTTTGGGAAAAGTACGGAAAATGTACTTGTAGTTGGACCCGTTTCAGGTAAGGTCATGTGTTTCATTCTTTATCAAAGTGGTTCATGTGTTTGAATTCCGTTATGACAAGAGGGTCACGCCGTTAAAAATGTCTGAAAAAGACCGTTAAAAGTAACTCCGATTTTCAAAAGTGACCGAAAAATTAAAAGAAAAATACCGGAAGGTGCGCCTAAAAAAGGCGACCGCTAGGCCATCTTTTTTTTTTTCAACCAACCTTGTCACCGGATAGTCCATCGGAAAAGTGATATTAGCGAAATCATTTTCAAAAAAATAATTCAAAGAGATCTGAAAAATCAAAGGTGAAGGTGGTTTGGAGGTCATCTTGACGAGGCGCACATTTCGGTATATTTCTTTTAATTTTCCAGGCACTTTTGAAAATCGGAGTTAGTTTTAACGGTTTTTTTCAGACGTTTTTAACGGTGTGACCCTCTTGTGAAAACGGAATTCAAACACATGAACCATTTTGATAATGAATGAAACACATGACCCTATTTGAAAACGGGTCCAACCACAGGTACCTTTTTCGTACTTTTCCCTATTTGTTTTTAACATTTTTTAGTTTTCGGTTAAAAAAATGAATTTGTTTAAGTAAAGTTTGATTATAGAATATTCAGTTATTTGTGATGGCTCCATGATTTAAAAATCTATGTTTTCGTTTTTTTAGCTCAAGAAACAGCAACAGTTAAAATTTAAAAAAAAAATCATTTTATATATGACATATGGATGTCATATGAAAGATCATAAAAATTTATGAATTTTGATATACTTTTTGAAAAATTGAGATGACAAATAAAAAAGTTATACTACCTCCGTCCCTAATAAAACTTTCAATTACGGGTTACAAAGTTTGACCAGCGATAAAGTTAAATGATCCCTATGAAAACTCGGATTATTTTTAGTAAATAAAATTTACATATTCAGAAACTACATTAAACCTGCTACAAAGCCTGCAAAAAATAATTCAATTTTTATAAATTTTTGATATATAAAGTAAGAGTTTAAGTGTGATTTAAGTTGACCCTCGAAAAGCGAAATGGAAGTTTATTTAGGGACGGAGGGAGTATAAGTTTAAAAAAATTGGGATATAATGACGCAAGGGTGACGCCAGCATGACATCATCCTCACCAAATTGGGATATAAGTTTCTTTCTTTTTTGTTTCTCCACTCCTCTAAACTCACCCTCTATATTTAGATATTTAGGGAGTGTTTGGAACAATTTCTACTTTAAAAAAGAGTATTTTTTGGAAAAAGTGATTAAATAAAAGTTCTTGTAAGCACAAATGTCAAGAACAAGTCCATCTTGTTCCAAGAGCTTGCAAGTTCTTCCAAAAGTAGCTGACGAGTGAAGAGAGATACACTTACGTGACAAGTGTATCTACATAGGGATTCCGTGAGTCGAGACACACAACTTTATCCGAAAGTCTTATTCAATTTTTAAAAAATTATAAAAATGACTAAATACACAATATCATATTAGGAATAAATGATTTTATATCCATGTTGTTTGAATAGTTTTATTTATTTTTGTTAGAAATCACTATTGATTTAATTATATCTATATTGTTCAAGTTATTTTAGGAGAATGTGTTACTTTTTAATATGTGGCATGTTGAATTGCTTATATATACTAATAATAATTATTGTTCAATATTGAATTGACATAAATAGATTATTAATTGTATTTCGTAACATTTTAATAATAGATTTAATATGTCACTAGTAATAACGATTTAGTATATTTCGTTAATCTATGATAATTTTTGTATTGGGAGACATGCACGGTAATTTACAGATACCGTACCGTTACCGAACCGAAACTTCGGTATAGCGCAATGCGGTATACCGAAACATCGGTAATAAGGTAAAGGTATGCACATTTTGCATACCGAAAATTTTGGTACGGCAAAGGTATGAGAAAAAAATATAAGGTATATCGTACCGAACCACCCCTAAATTTTCTGTAATTTTTGGAGTGAAAAGTTCAAATATGCTTTTTTAACCCCAGGTTGTTTACTGGATAAAAAACCTTGGGTTGCTATTAGTCTAATGATGCAAAAAAAGTATGATTGTTTTACACATTTTTGTGTATAATTAACGTTGGCACATCTTGTCTGCCTATATAAAACGAGTAACTTGTCTACACAGATACAGTTTTGTGCATATAGATAAATTCTGTATTAATTTCAATATGTATTGTCTAGCTGCTATGTTGCAGGGGCATGTGAAAATCACGAGGAAACACAAAAATGCTCAAAATATGCTTATTTGGATAGTTTCAAGGAAAACGTATTATTTCCCGAGAGTTTGCATGGTACATAGATTTTCTGTATAGAAATAATAGTGTTTATACATACACAAGCTGTGTCAAAATGTATCCAAAAATATAATATATTCCCTACGTCCCAATATAAAAGACACATTTCTCTTTTTAACAAACAAAATAGTGTCAAAAACTTGCGTGGAAAAGCAAATGTGTCTTTTATTGAGACGGAGGGATCAAATTATGCGCCAACCATTTCTGATTTTCTGTGCATGCAGAAAAAGAGTGAATAGCACATAGAGTTTGAACTGAACACAAAAGAATTCAGGGGTGGGCCCCCTGTAGTGTATAAATAACTGTCCATTGTTCCGCAAAACAAGGAAGCCATCTGAGAAGTAATACTTCAGCTAACTCGATCTGTACAGGAAAAGGAAAGGAAGATGAGATGTGCTTCGTCTCATGCTTTCTTCCTCATTGCCCTCCTCGGAATATTCGCATGCATATTCAAAAAGATTCTCCGGACGTTTCCGAGGTCGGTCATCCTAAACCACGTCGTTTCAACAGCGACGCAGCTGAAACTGTCCTGGGATTGCCTCCTCTTGCACTCTATCTGCCATGCAGCCGCCTCCCCCTACAAATTCAGCCGCTCAAACGTCGCCGGAATTTCGCCGGAGAACGCCGCAGCTGGGCTCGGCGTAAGGGTTTTCGAGGGGAGATCCGGCGTAGAGCCGGAATGCCCGATTTGTTTGTGCGGCATAGAAGACGGAGAGGATGTGAGGGAGTTGAGGTGTGCACATGTTTTCCACGTGGCTTGTTTGGATAGGTGGCTTGGAACTGGCCGTATGACGTGTCCGCTTTGCCGGAGCCACGTCAAGACGTCGGGCCCACTTCTTGGTCATCTTCAGGATGACGTCATTGTCTTCAACTTCTTCTCCAGACGGCGAGATGAATGCATGTGGTGGATAAGATGATTAGACAGTGGTCAAAATATGTCAACTTAATTCATTAAAAAAATCTATTAAAATATTTTGTTTGTCAACTGAATTCATTCGTTGTATTTATACTGGATAGTATATATATAAATCTAATGGTTTTAAGAGAAAATGGCGAAATTGCCATTTCCATCATTGGTTATTTTTATTAGATTTGTTATTTTTATTAAAATATCCTTCTAAATCTATTAGACTAATTGGATTATCTCTTAGGATACTTGGGGCCAAAATCTTTGTTATTTACTATCATTGAATTTTAATGGGAAAAGGGGCAAATAAGCCCTCGAACTAATAAAAAAAGTGCATATAAGCCCTTTTGTAGGAGATTCTGTCCGATCATCGTCATTTGGGGAGGTTCTCGGTGGAATTTTTTGATGAATTTTTTTGAGCATCTTCTTCGTTAAGTCTAGTTTAGCCATACCAAATTTCAACTAAAAATTCAACCGGGAAGGCACTCAAATGATTTTCTGAACTACACTGCGTTGTTTAACTGCGCAGTTATCTCTAAAAATTCATTTGACTGTCTTCCCGATTGATTTTTTAGCTGAAATTCGGTATGACTAAACTAGACTTAATGAATAAGATGCTCAAAAATTTTCATCAAAGAATTCCACCTGGAACCTCTCCAAATGACGATAGACAGACGAAACCTCCTACAAAAGGGCTTATTTGCACTCTTTTTATTAGTTCGAGGGCTTATTTGCCCCTTTTCCCAATTTTAATTTATTGGATGTTTTAAAGGGTCAAATCTCATGTTTAATTCATTTGCCACAAATTGATTCATTATTACATTGTTAGAAATGGGATTAATTGAATATCACAAGAAAACTAGAGAGTATATAATCTTATCTAATTGACGTGACAAAAAATTAACAGCTTTGCTATAGGTATCCCAAAATGGGGTATCCCATTTGTCCACATCCTAATGGGTTGCCATAAACGATGAACATCAAGAATGAACATTCAAGGGTGAGTGTTGTAAACTCATGGGAATTACAGGTGTGAATTATTCATCCTTATAATCAGGACACTAATCTAGCATCAAACCTTGTAACCAACTTAGAACAGATGGCTCAATTTGTTATTGCCACCAAGTCTGTAGAGTCATCCTTTAGATGACTAATCATCAAGCTCAACCACTATAAATAGGAGCTTGGTGAAGTCTTGTAAATTCATTCAGAAATTATCATATACTAAGAAAAAGTAATTTTAGAGCTTATTAATATTATATCTATCTCTTTAATCTGTTCTTCATCTTCTTCATTTCACAACACGTTATCAGCACGAATCTGCTCAAAATCTTCAACCATCAGTTTCTTCTTCAAAATCTCCTGCATATATGGATCACTCAAATGATAAAGAGCTATGTCTGATAGACAGCTCCACAACGCACACCATTCTGAGAAATAAAATATATTTTTCTCAAATGACTTTAGTTGAGGCTAAAGTCAATACAATATCAGGTGTTGCGAAGCTCATTGAAGGCTCTGGGAAAGCATATGTGATGCTCCCTAATGGGACAAAATTACTTATAAATGACGCTTTATACTCCAGCAAATCGCGGAGAAATTTATTAAGTTTTAAAGATATGCGTCAAAATGGTTATCACATAGAAACCATGAATGAAAATCAAAAGGAATATTTTTGTCTTACGACAACTAAATCTGGCACTAAATGTATTTGTGAAAAAATGCTGGCATATTCCTCAGGACTATATTTCACTCATATTAGTCCATTTGAAATAAATTTGGTTTCTAAGGATGTTTTTACTTGGACTGTAATTTGCTGGTCTGATCTGGTCTGGTCTGGTCTGATCTGGTCTGGTCTGGTCTGAACTGGTCTGGTAAGGTCTGGTTTCTTTATATTTTTATAACTATCCAAGTCTGGTTTGGTCTGGTCTGGTCTGAACTGGTCTGGTCTGGACTGGTCTGGTCTGGTCTGGTCTGGTCTGGTCTGGTCTGGGGCAAATTACAGTCCAAGTAAAAACATCCTAACACAAAGTTAGATGATCAGAAAACATTCATGTTGTGGCATGACCGTTTAGGTCACCCAGGCCAGGTAATGATGCATAAAATCATTAAGATTTCACTTGGACACCCATTAAAGAATATAAGGGTTCCATTATCAAGTGATTTTCCTTGTAATGCCTGTTCTCTTGGCAAAATGATCATCAGGCCTTCTATGAACAAAATTGCAACTGAATCACCTGCATTTTTAGAAAGGATTCAAGGAGATATTTGTGGGCCGATTGCTCCTCCATGTGGACCATTTCGATATTTTATGGTGTTGATTGATGCTTCAACACGTTGGTCACATGTTAGTCTTTTATCGACTAGAAATTTAGCATTTGCTAAACTCCTTGCTCAAATCATACGATTACGAGCCCATTTTCCGGATCATTCTATAAAAAGAATCCGACTTGATAATGCGGGAGAATTTACATCCAATCATTTAACGATTATTGTATGTCGATTGGGATTGATGTGGAGCACCCTGTTGCTCATGTCCATACACAAAATGCAGGTGTAATCGCTAGACCATTATTAATGAAGTGTAATTTACCTTCATCAGCTTGGGGACATGCTATTTTGCACACAGCAAATTTAATTCGGCTTAGACCGACTGCATATCATGAATATTCCCCAATGCAATTAGTTACTAGACAAGAGCCAAACTTAGCACACATAAAAATATTTGGTTGTGTTGTTTATGTTCCGATTGCTCCACCTCATCGTACAAAAATGGGTCCTCAAAGAAGGTTGGGAATTTATGTTGGATTTGAATCTCCCTCAATAATAAAATATCTTGAACCAATGACTGGTGACTTATTCACCGCATGGTTCGCTGACTGTCATTTCAATGAGACAGTATTCCCAACCTTAGGGGGAGAAACTAATAAATCGGACCCAAGTACGAAAGAAATAACATGGAATGCAACAGGATTATCACACCTTGATTCTAGATCAAATATATGTGAGCAAGAGGTGCAAAAGATAATCCATTTACAAAATGTTGCAAATCAGTTGCCTGGTGCATTCGCAGATACAAAGAAAATGACAAAGTCACATATTCCTGCTATGAATGCTCCTGCCAGAATCGAAATCCCAGCAGAGAATTCTGAAAAATCTCTTGCAAATGATTCTTCTATACACAAAAAGCGTGGCAGGCCACTTGGATCGAAAGACATAAAACCAAGAAGAACTAAAAGACAGGAATTGATCTGTGATGCCAAAGATGTTCATCCTTCTGAACAAGAAAATAAACAATTTGAAAATACTGGCATAGAAAATGATATTGACAAAACAAATATCTCAAATGATGATCCAACTTCCTTAAATGAGGATGATATCCCAGATAATGATAGAAACATTGATAATTATGAAATTTCAATGAATTACGTTGGTACTGGATTGCAATGGAATCGAAAAGATATTGATATTAATGAGATATTTGTCTATGTTGTTGCCACGAATGTAATGAATGAAAACAATGACAATGAGCCAACATCAATTGAAGAATGTCGGAAACGACATGATTGGCCAAAATGGAATGAAGCTATTCAGGCTGAATTAAAATCACTTGAAAAACGTGATGTTTTTGGACTGATAGTCCCTATGCCAAAAGGCGTAAAACCAGTGGGCTTTAAATGGGTATTTGTGCGTAAACGCAATGAGAAAAATGAAATTGTTAGATATAAAGCCCGACTTGTTGCCCAAGGTTTTTCTCAAATGCCGGGAATTGATTATGAAGAAACTTATTCTCCAGTAGTTGATGCAACTACATTAAGGTTTCTCATTGGCATGTCTGTTTTTGAAAGGCTGCAAATGCGCTTAATGGATGTAGTGACTGCATATTTATACGGTTCACTCGATACAGACATTTATATGAAAGTTCTCGGAGGATTTAAATTGCCTGAAGCCTATAGCTCGAAATTTCGAGACATGTTTTCCATTAAATTACAGAAGTCATTGTGTGGACTAAAACAATCTGGACGAATGTGGTATAATCGTCTCAGTGAGTATCTTCTCAAAGAAGGATATAAAAATGATCCTATTAGTCCATGTGTTTTCATTCGGCGATCAAATTCGGGATTCGCCATAATTGCAGTATATGTTGATGACTTAAACATTATTGGAACTCTCGATGAAATTGAAAGTACTGCAAAATATCTTATGAAAGAATTTGAAATGAAAGATCTCGGGAGAACCAAATTTTGTCTCGGACTTCAAATTGAGCACTTGAAGAATGGAATTTTCATCCACCAATCCAATTACACCGAGAAAGTGTTGAAGAGATTCTATATGGACAAAACTCATCCTTTGACTTCACCAATGGTCATTCGATCTCTCAACATACACGATGATCCATTTTGTCCCTGAGAAGACGACGAAGAAATACTCGGTCCCGAAGTACCATATCTGAGTGCTATCGGAGCTTTAATGTATTTAGCTAATAATATTGGACCAGATATTGCATTTTCTGTAAATTTATTAGCTAGGTACAGCTCATGACCAACAAGACGGCATTGGAACGGGATCAAGCACATATTTCGTTATCTCCGTGGTACAGTTGATCTCGGCCTATTCTACCACAAAGATGCAAAAGCTTCTTTAATCGGATATGCAGACGCTGGATACTTATCAGATCCTCAAAAGGCAAAATCACAAACCGGGTACGTATTTACTTATGGTAATACCGCAATCTCTTGGAGATCTATGAAACAGACGTTGACAGCTACATCATCAAATCATTCGGAGTTAATTGCACTATATGAAACCGGAAGAGAATGTGTATGGCTGCGATCTATGATTCAACCCATCCAGAATGAATGCGGTATGAAGCCTATTACTGTTTACCCTACTATGATCTACGAAGACAATACTGCGTGCATAGCTCAAATTAAAGAAGGCTACATCAAAGGAGATAGAACGAAGCATATATCTCCCAAATTTTTCTCTACTCATGACCTTGAGAAAGAAGGGACAATCAACATTCAACAAATCAGATCCAGTGAAAATCCCGTCGATCTCTTCACCAAATCTTTACCC